GGCTTTCTCCAGAGCACCCCACACAGTTCACCACTTCATGGAAGGCTTGTGAGCGTGTTGGCAAGCAAAGCTCAGCTTTGCGCTAATACAAGGCTTCACACAAGGCTCTGTCAGTCTGTGCTTCAAGGTCGGTGACTTTTCCGTTCTCTTAAAAGATGATAAAGAGAGCAGGATCAACCTTCTTTGGTTTTTCATGGTGGGGAGTATGCCTATTCTCTTGGGGCAATTCGTGCACAACTTTGCTGCTTATCCCTACTATAAACTTAGAAAGCAAACTTAAAGACTGCATGCCAGTTCTATTTCAGTTCACAGCACTGTGTTTAAGTTTGTTTCTAAATATAAATACTTTCATTAGCCACACAATCCTCTGTTTAATTGCTTACATGATTTTTTATTTTTTTATTTTATTTTTTTTTTAGAGAGGAGCCTCAAACCAGAATGGGAAGGGCATAACTGGGCAGGACAGAAGTGTGATTCCAGGCAGAACATTACATTTGTTCCCTATTTCTGCAGCCCAAAATAACAACTCTCCAAAGAGCATTGGGGATGTTCAAATTCCAGAGCCAGAACTAAGCTCTGTAGCTCAAGACATGATGTGATCTCTAGGAGGAGGGGGAAGGAGAACTCTACAAGACAGAAATGCCTGAGATAAGAATGTAAAAATCTGAGGCTGGGTACATGCCCATAATCTCTCATGTGTAAACAAACAGTTAAATTTGTGTCAGGGAGCAGCATGTTCAGTTTTCTGAAGAAGACATGTTTCCCAGAAGGAATTACATAAATATTTATGAAAATGAAGCAGGAAATATTTTCCCAGGGTAGGACACTGTTCAGCACTGCATCAGGTCAGCAGAAGCGGGGGGTTTATTTTGTCAGTCTTCCCCTGGAACTGAATCATTGCCCTCTTGTTTGCAAAAATCTGTTCTGACACAGGAAGAGGCTGCACTTAGATAAACACAATTACAAACCACACTGAGTATTTCACTTCGTATCGCATCTCTGAATGCATATGTGAATGCCTTACTCTTTTGGACAGCTTCTCCGAGTGATTGCATGGAAAACAATAGCCATCGGTGTCTGTCTCAGGCCTCTCAGGAAGGCTGATGCCATATGAGTACAGTCAAAGGCATCTTCAGCAGAACTGAAAGCCTGCAGGCTAACTGTCAGAGAAGTATTCTCAATGAAAGCGTTCACAATACAAGTGCTCGTAACACACTCACTGGGAGCCAGTAAATTCTTGCCAAGTGTAAAAGATAGATAGAAATGCAAAGTTGCAATGCAGTGCTACCTGAGTGAGCAGAAGTTACACACAATTGAGGTTTGTTTGAAAAACAGGGTACAGCGTTCAGTGCTGCACCTCACAAAGCATCCAGCAGCTCTCTGAATCTGTGGTCTGCAACCCAAGCTCCTTCTGACAATTCCGTGCTGACCAGTCAGTTTGCTCCCTGGGCACCAGCTGTCTCCAATTTCCTCCTGCCTTGCAGCAGACACTTCCAGCTGGAATTTGGGTCAGCTTTTCTGTTTAAGGGCTAAAAGCTGAGGGGCACTGGAGTGGGAAAGGAGAGTAGGAGTATCCCTAGAAGGGATTGTAAGCTCTAAAGCAGACCGAAGGTCCTCCTAGAGCACCATCCCTGTGTGAGACCACGGAACACTCATGTCCATCCCTCAAGATACCCATCTCAACAGAAAGTCAAACTCACTAGCAGAAAACCAGGGAGATCATAGTTGATAGGGGAACATGTATTTCTGCACTGCTGAGGTTGATGAAGCTCTGCTTACTGAACATAGAAACAAGGAGATTTTGGAGAATATGGTCCTTAGTTTGGTTCTTTTTGTCATTTATTTGCAGACATATCAAGGTCTAGTCATTGTTTGTGTCTTACTCAGAGGAACGACTGGTGGAGACTCTGTTTACAGACTCGAGTAGTCATTGCGTGGTGTCAAAACCAAAAATTATGTTTTACAAAATAGCCCTAGGATTACTTTCCCCCCTACACTTGGCAAACCACGTTACTGCTTTTCCTCTTCTATTCTCTCTAAGCTTTGCCACTGTGATTGATGTATCAGGTATGACAGGCTGAAACACTCCAAATCGTCATGACCTCTCATACCAGAAGAACTGAAACCATCTTGGATCCCAAAGGAGAAAAATATTGGGTTTTTTTTTTTGTTTTGTTTTGTTTTTGCTTCAGATGGCCCCCGGTTTTATTCAGTACAGTAAGGTACAGAAAAGGAAAGTTCTCCTTGATACTAAATTCGGGTTAGAAAGGATGCCAGTGGACTCGCAGCACTTCTGGCTGAATCAGCCCATGGTTATAAGCAGGACGTATTAACCTGGAGTCCAACCACATGACCTAGGACTCTACGAATTATTAAAATTGGCTGTAGATCTGGCCACCTTTTGATGAACACTATGTTGTCTGTACTCCATGTAGTCTATTGACATTTAACTACTAATGTTTGAAGAATAAGCAAGTGAAGGTAATACGAATTACCATAGAAGCAGCTGGACTCCAAGGAGGCAATGCACTACACAATGGTTACCTGACTACTGCTTATCTCAAAGGAATAGAACCTTTCAGGATTTTATTTTGTGTCTTCTCAGGGTTTCCTTGTAAAACATTCATGCCCTAGGAAATGTTTGCTTTATGTCTTTTATGTCTGGACAACACTGCCTAGCTTGTTTTTCTCTGTTGCCTATAGACTTTTCTCCAAGCCTGATTCAATGAGAATTAACATGCACAATAGGCAATGTGTCTCATTAAATCTCCATCAGCAATGAAACTGCTTGAAGATTTTTCAGTGAAACTGGTTTGATAAATACCGATTTGCCAAACCCCAAGTTTTTTGTGCTAGTATATCAGTTTTGATGGATTGCCTGTTAAGGCAGGTTTCCTAGCTCCAGGACAGGATTTCTGGTCCAAGAAGACAAAACTGATTAGCAAACAGCCTTGTAATAAGGCAATATAACCTTAAGGCTCTAGTGCAAACACTGGTTTAAATTATGCAGAGAAAGAATTTGAATCTGGATCTCCTACATTTTAAGTAAGTGCCTTCATTACCAAGTTCTTGGATATATTAAACTTCATTTCTCACTGTGTGTTTAGGGGTTTTGTGATTGTCATGGAGGAAAAAAAAAGTAGGGTCTTGAATTATTTTCTAATGTGGAATAAGAACATTTGTAAATGATCACAGCAAGAGTAGTATCAGAAAAATGTTCCCTGTTTAGTCCTGTTCAGTGGCTGAAGTGGTTAAACAAATGATTTCCTCTTTCACTTACACTTACCCCTCTTTATCCCTGATAAATAACAAAGAAGTCTGTGTAAGTCTCTCAGTACTGTGGAACAGATAGCATCATTCATGTCAGTTCAGCAACATTTCCCAAAATGCCTCCTCCAAAGCTAAGTACACTAGCTTCCCACTCCTACGCTCTCTATTCTTGCTCTTACATTGACCTTCTGCTCACAAAATGGAAAGTGAAGAGAAGAAAAAGATAAATAAAACAGATTTACAGTGTACAAGTCAGAGGCACAGTGCCCAACGCAAATCACAGAGGAACAAGTTTATTCCTGGTACAACTCTATCTATAAACCCAGCTTTCTCTTTCCTCCCCCTCTAGCTGTGGTGTATCCGTTATTAAGGCCACATTTGAGGGTGTTAGTTAGATGACATTCTTTAGGACAGAGACCACTATTTATTTCTGAAAAGTACTGTATACAGTCTAACAAAAAAGAAAAGTGTTTTGAAAAGTGGGACAGTCTGTGACCAGGCTACGAAGAAAAAAGGGAGAGGAGTGTCTTGACCCCTCTTGGGACTTTCGCCAACATTTCATCCCAGACGAAAGCTTGAAATCAAAGCCTTCTTTTAGCCTTTAAGAAAAGGTGTTCACTTTTACATCAGTGCTGCTACTTTTTCTGTCTACCAAAAGGCTGAAACGCTGTAGGGCTAAGGAACTGATCATCTCTTGAATAATGAGGAAAACATCTCAAAGCTATTATCATAGGAAATACATTTTTTTTGCCTAGAATGGAAAGCAAACATGCGCTCTCATATACTAGGCAGTTCAAAAGCATAGTTCAGCTTTTTAAGTAGCTGTCTCCTTCGTTGTGTAAGAAACCAGAAGTTAACAAAATTCCTGGAAAGACTACAAATACTCATCTCCCCTTTCTATGCTGACAGGCTACCTCGAGCGGTCTGCTGTCCCCGGTTACTGCGCTTTCCCGAAGAGAAACCTAGAGTTTTTTCTCAGAAGGGATTGCACATGGATGGATATCTGTCACAGCTCCTTCCCAAAGAATATATAGCGGTTTTGCATGCTACTGGTTCCTCCATCCAGGAGGTCTCCTACACTTGGTTTCAAAGTCCCAGCATCCAACTGAAAACTTGACGGCTGCCTCATGCAGTGAACCAGAAGCAGCCTCCTGGACGACCCAAAGACGACGTTGCACTGGGACCTATGCTATAGCACTGTGCTGATGTATGGTCTCCCCCAGTAGGCGAGGAGACAGGTGGTATGGGAGGGGGTATCGCAGCCATTCAAGCTCATCTTACTCTGTGGCTTCAATCCTGAAGTCTGCCCTTCTGTACTGTGCCTACCAACATAATCTGGGCTTGGAGCAACTATTGTAGAGCAATCTGTAAGCATAAAACTATAATTTGTGGGTTTCTGGCTCAACCCCCCATTGATGACATCAACTTTTCATTCCCTGCTCTGGGAGCTATGGGTACATGGCACCCAAAAACTGTGAAATACAACCAGTGACTTCCACCCACAGCAGACTGGCAGCTCATCTGTTGTCACTAATGGTCTCCTTGGAGGAAAGCTTTTGTGGAAAAGTCTCTCTACATGTTTTATGGAGTCTATATTACTCTTCCAGCACAAAACCAGCCACAAGTATCCTATAACTAATTAGTACTCAATGGGATACAAGACTGAAGTCTTTTGTCTCCTGAGTAAATGAAAAGTTGGGCTTGAAGACTCAGTGCCAAAAGGAACAAAAAATGACAAAAGAGATATCCCCATATATTGAAGAAATTTTCCATGGCAAAAGCAGCTAAACATCTCACAGATAAGAGATAAATTGGAATAAACAGCTGTCAGTGTTAAATAAATATCCTGGATAATGTGCAGGACAGAAATAACTACAGCATCATCAAACTCCTTTCTTCACTTTATTTAGCTGTTCTTGCATGTAGCTCCCAACTTTGCACTGCTTCAGTTTGTGGAGCATTTATTTTTGAATCAGCTGCATTTGTTAAGACTGTAACAACGAAAGGCATTTCCTGAGAGGCTGCAAGGATGAGCAGCAAGAAAGAACAACAGCTAAGAAAATACGGGACCCTAGTAGTGCTTTTTCTCTTCCAAGTTCAGATTTTTGGTTTCGATGTTGACAATCGACCTACAACAGATGTCTGCTCGACACACACAATTTTACCTGGACCAAAAGGTGAGGAGTATCAGGTTGCTAATGCTAAGACCAGTACTGGTAAAGGATGATTTTTAAAAATAGAGACATGGAGGGCTTGTGGCATGGGCTGGGGATGAAAGACGTGAATTATTGCGGACTGTACAAACATCTAGAAAAGTGGAACTGTGATGGGGAAAAGTGATGAAGCCAGGAGATTTGAATTTGCTTTTGTTTAGTTTCAGGAACGGTGTCACATATTCTCAAATAAGTTAGAGTTGTCCTTTTGCATCTTTCTTCGGCCACGTAAATTTTCTCGTACTTCTTGTATTCATCACACAACCAGTACAGCTAACAGCCACAAATAGAGTGACTTTGTCTAAAAGTAAGCACCTATTGTGAACTGTTAATCGTTCACTTTGCACCTATATGTAGGGAGAGATATGCAATATTTAAAATTACTGAACTGTCATTATTTCCAAATGCTTACTTGTAAACAGAGCTCTGCTGCGTTCATCAGACCTGATCCAGCAGCTCCTGTTGAATTAAACAGATCCTTCACTACAGATTTCAATGAGAACTAGATCAGCTCTGGCATGTGCAGTTCTTTTATCTTTAAAACACTTTGCAAATATCTGAATCCAAATTTTCTGCATTAACTTATTTTTTGTGTTACACAACTAACGTCAATGGAATTGCCTGGAGGGTACCTCAGCCAAAAATTAGGTCCATGACATACAAATCTATCTTGCAGTGACAGATCTAAAATATATATTTCACACCACAGCTATTGCAGTTCAAACTATTGCTTTCTTTTTAGTAATTCATTGTATTTTTCTATAGGCTACAGACGGAGAGAAAAAAAATCAACTGATTTAAATTTTAAGCAGAAAAAAAGATTATCAAGTCAAAAGCACTGCTACAGACTCATTTGTTTTTATGATGGATTATTCAAATGCATGTTGCTTAAAGGACCACTTTTAATCAGCAAGTTAATTTCTTTATGATGACAATCCAAGCTTAAACTTTTGCTGCCACAGCATAAATGCGGAGAGATGTAATGATCCCCAAGGGAGCGAGTGGGAGTTTGTTTAGTTAGTATCTGAATAATGGCAGGCTGGAGAACAAAGTTTGACAGAATTGTGTTTAACAAGTCACAAGGCTAATGAGGTGGTCTGGTGACAACACGAGCGTAGCTGGGACTCCAGCTGGTTTCTGTGGTCTAGCTTGTATAGGGAGCATTTAAAGGTAGATATTATGGTTCTTTGCAAGTGTGATACTGAGAAAGTCTGGAGTTAGTCATTACCAGTCCTATTGCCTCCTGGCTGACACCAAGACAGAAGAGGTGCCAAACAGTATATTGGCACAGTCCACGATACTACTTTAAAATTAGATTACCATGCCCAGGATCCATGATTGGTAAAAGGAGTATTGAGTAAATCACCTCCAAATTACTGTCTCACACCCATTGCAGGTCATCAAATACATTTTTCAGTCTATGTGATATGATCCTATAGACCAATTTCAGTTCCTACCAGAGTTGAGCTCATCCAGGGCAGTTACAAGTGGCTCTAAACAGCACTGGTTGTTTTGACTGCCAGTCAGCTGGGCAATTAAAGACTGAGCAGGCTGGACGTGTGAACTACCCTGTTACTCCTCAGGCATCCCTTGTAGTCAAGGACGAAGCATGCTGACCTAATACGGAAGAATAAAGTCTGTCCTGCTGCCAGTTTTCCTCTATCCATCTTGTGTGTAGGGACTCAGAGCACATGATCTCCAGCCTAGGACTGCACCACAGCCACAGGCAACACTTTGCTGGTCAAACTTTAACTCTGACAATGGACAAGCCTCTGACTTCTGTTGCTGTTTTATTTTCTATGCTAGGTCTGTTGTGCCCCTTTGCCCATCATTCTCCAAAAAATGGGGTTTGACCCACCCTGCACAAGTTTCACCCCTCACCCCCATCTCCTCAGAATCTTTGGCTATGGTCGAACACAGCGGTGCTCCCACAAGACAGAGGTGCTGAGCTCGCACAGTATGTTGGCCAGCTTCTCCTACCACAACAGGCCAGGCTCCTGTTGCGACAAACTCCTCCTTCCATATGAACATGGGAGTGTCTGGACCAAAGCGCCTAGAAGTGCAAGGGATTAAGAGATATTCAATAGCTGTAAGACTTCCTACACTGTCGCACCTCACCTATCCCAGTGCAAGGCACAAATTGGCCTGTAGGCTAGATCCAGTCTGTGGGCTACAAGTGGGATGGTCCCCAGACCTATGCAGCAGCAATACTGCTGTTCCCATCACACAGCACAATGGAGAGGAGAAAGCTGAGGGACAAGTGGGGTTGTTTGGACAGGCTCAGAACTTACAGCCCTTTATTTCTTGCACTGTTGGAGGTTGCGTTACTCACTTCATCATCTAGGCATTCATAGTTGCTACAGGAACGAGCACCCAACCCCTCCGCATGCTCACCCTGAAAATCACCTGTTCAAAAAGCGTCATTAGTATCGTGCAAATTGGCCACTTCTTGTACAAGCCACGTGTAACTTGTCCAAGTTAATTCATGCACGCCAAATTCTTCCCCTTCAAAAATATACTCTTTGTTATGCTCATACCTGAGCTTTCACAAAAGAAGTACGGTATGAGTGGTGGGATGAAAAGAAAAGGTAATTCCAGGGTGATTACCAGGAAAGTCTTCAAACTGGTTGTGACAGTCCCACCAGCTCCCAAAAAGCATGAGGCAAAACCAGAAGCCATTGTGTGTAACACAAAGAGCCAGAAAATACTCTGGAAGGATGCAGTCTCCCAGGAACAGAAGGAATGCAGTAAAGGTCCTGTAAGCCTTTTGCACTTTCTGTTGCAATGATAGAAGTCAGTCTGAATTAAACTGCTCAGCATTAGAACCTAATTGGAGTTTAAGTCTGACCTCTGGCGGTTCTGCGTGGCGCAAACCAGGTGCCTTGCAATCACCTCCATCTATCTGCTGCTTTTCCATCGCCAGTGCAAGCCAATGAAAGCTGAAGTCTGTTTCTAAAGAATTATGCAAAGAAATTTTCTGAACAGGAACTCCAGAAAAAGGGAAAAAAAGAATAAGAGAAAAGCAAAAGCTGGCACTCCTCTCCCAGTTTCCCTTTCTAGGCAATGCTCGGGTCTCTTCTCAAAAAGAGGGGATTATTTTTAATGAACATAGTCCTAGTGCAATGGCTGTCTTGTTCTGCCTTCTGAAAAAGCTTTGGACATACACAGCAAGCTGGCTTATATAGCAATTAAAAATAAAAATGTGTGAGGCATTTTCTAGGACCCTTATTGAAATACCCTAGGAAACCAAAAAAGAAACAAATCTGTGCTTTGGACCAGAACAGATTTTCAGTATTTGTAGCTAGTGATTTTTGGTGTTTGACCTGAGATACAGCTTGGTCTTCGCTGGAGTGCTTTGGCACAGGACCTCTGAAAACTTATATTAGGTAATGCAGATCCACAGCTGAGTAACTAAGGCAATAAAGGCCAAGTGCTGTACTCCATCGACCTCTTGGTTCCGAAGACAACCAGATCAAGCATAAACAAAACAACGAATTTCCCAGGGCAGCCAAGTGCTTGGCCTAGCCAAATTAGTCATGGCCCTGTTGCTTACTTTCCACCCTTGCAAGCCTGGAAGCAGGGTGGCTGTTGCTGCTGCTGGGGAGGAACTGGCTCTGTGGGGAGCCAGCAGCTAGTGCAGAGACAGCAAAAGCACCAGCTGTTGGTCCATGCCTGGCAGCATCAGGAACACCAGGCTCTGCCCTCCTGGGCTCTCCCTTCAACTGGTGTCCCGGCTCTGTCCTTTCTTCTAGCTGCCCCCTCCTGGTGACTGTAAAGGAAGTTTTAAATGGCCTGTTGACATAGAGGAGATGGGATTTGACCTGGTCTGAGTAAATCAATAAGCAACAACATGAAGGCAGAAATAAGCAGAAGGACCAAAATTTTGATTCCTAAACTCCCATTAAAAGCATAAGCAGAGGGAGAAGAAGACTAGGGCAGGGGCTGGCTCTGCAGAAGTGTGGAGCAAGGCTACAGCTGATTTCATGTGGATTCCTGGGAGCTCAGTGCTTCAGAAGACTGGCTCTAGATCTTGCTATCATGTCCCAGGTCCCAGCTCATTTCCTCTGAAATCCAGACACAGGAATTTAAAAGGTCTTGAATCAGATCCAGGCTGAGAAATTGGAATGAGATGAAATCTGAAGAATACCGGGAGTTTCCCATAGCAATTTAGATGTAAAGCGTTTCCTTATTATTATTTCTGACAAATGATGCTTATAAACTCTGTGACATTGGCTGGCGCCTTAAAATAGCATTTACTGTGGTCTCCAGTATAGCTGTCCATCTCTCAGCTTTAATTGTGCTTACGCAATTCCACTCCTGGAAAATCTCAAACTCACTCAGAAACCAGATATGCTGCTATCCACATTTCCTTCTGAAAATATAAAATGCCTTACCACATCCTATAGGCTATTCAAACCCATAACTAAACTTCCCTCTTAGAGCCTCACATTTGATCTGAAGAGCCCTTTAATTTCAACACTTAATTCTATTTTTTATGTCTTTTAGACTTCCTCATGTTAGTATATGTTAAGTTTCTGAAGTTTATCAGCCTGAGTTGCAAAGCATGTAAGTGGGGACTTAAATACATAAATTCAAGAGATATTGAGTCTGTATTTCTTACCTATGTCAGTCTGATTCCTCACTGAAGCCACTGCAATCCGTGGGTCTCTGAGATCATGTCAGAATGTCAGGGGAACAGGCTGGGAAAATTAAATTGGGCAGACCAAATGAAAAGAGAATCCAGAATAATTTAGATTATTTGTGTTATTAAAGAAATAATGTACGTCCCAGTCATGCACAAAGGCTCAGACTTTTAAATACTACAAATCGGCAGAGCCTCACTGAGCCCACTGAAGGCTTGGGTCTGGCTCACACAATGCAGTAGAAGAGGGTATTTGTACTGAAGTCAATGGACATTTGTAAGTGGAAAGTGGAAAAGTAAGCAGAGAATCCAGTTTATTCTT